TCTCTCTCTCTCTCACTTGCATTAGATATACATTTATCTTAAATTAAATCCAGACTCTAAATCCCTATGTTAAATGACCGTACTGAACCGACGATCTTAGAGGGGCATATAATCACGTTATTATAGCGCACGTTAAACGCGCCGGAATTCGAAATAATCAGGCTCTTTAATCGAACACGGATACACTGTCTTATACAGCGATAGGTTTTACATATCACGTGAGATGATCATCCTGCATCATAGTATTTCAGTTCGCCAAAAATCACGAATCATCTTGAGACCCATCGCGAATTTATTCGGTAGAAAAGACATCATCGATTGCGACATGTAAGAAATTACAGAGGCTTGGCTTCATTTGGCTATATACACGGAACGATGTTTTATAGACGACTCCTCGTACACGATGTAAACTAATTTTGTACGAAACACGAGTGTCTACCGTCGACTGTGTTTCGTCTTTTTTTCAGGGTATATACAATTTATCATCATTATGCGTATCCGTTTTTATCCTGAATAAGGGAACACAGTTCTTCGTATTTTCGCGCGTCTACAATAGGTCTACAGGTTGTTAATCGGACTGGTCGATTACTGTCGCCGTTAATTCGCCGATCGCGGATAGGGCTTCGAAAACCCGCGGTTTACACGCTTAACATAGTATAATAATAGTAGTAATAGTAGCACAGTCGATCGCTCGATTTCGAAGGGCTCTTAATAATTCGGCATCGAACGAAATTGAAGGCGCGGGCCCGCGGTTGCACACTCGCTCGGTTGGTTGGCAGTATGACGTGCATCGAATTGTGTTTAATCTAAATACGTGGATCTTTCGTAGCGATACGAGATAATTCAACATCGATCTTCGACCCCTTTGTCACACAGCGTCCATATATAAAAAAAAAAAGTGGTACAAAATATACATTTTCATCGAAGGTTGACGAGTAATTCCAACGCTCGTTGAACAAAAAGCGGCTATGAATAATTAATCGACAATCGTAATTACATAGCGGATGTAATTATAATTTCAATGAAAGAATTTAATGTACAACGTGATATTATATGTCTCTCGTAAGCATAGATATTCACGTTACGCTTTATCCCCTTACTTTAAAATTATAATAAATGTTTATAATTTAAAGCATCTGCTTATAGATACGCATTAGTATATTCTAAGAGATTAAATATAAAGGGATAGAGGTAACGTTACACATACAATTAAAATCAGACAATTTTTTTTTTTTTTCATAATCATATAAAATATAATTTTGAATATTTAAATTAGTGGCATTTGCGTAAAATATATATGCGGAGTTTGAAAATTCGTTGGAAATCGGATACCGCACCGGCTAAAGGGTCGAAGTCTTTGTACACACCTCTTTCCGACAGCTTTCCCTCTCACGGAAGTGTACGTGAGAAATTTCATCTCGCACAAATTCGCCCCCATCGATACGATTTTTTACGCGCCACCGTGTCGTCATGTTATAAAAAAATACTATTTTACAGCGCAGGAGACAAGCTCTCGCCCATACAGGTTGCATACGCTCAGATAGACTTGCATACATTGCAAAAAACAGGCATATACGCAAATACGTATATAAAAAACACATATAATCATTCGCACGAAGAACACGCTATCATATAATTCGCTCGCTCACTCATACACACAAAAACACATGCATCTATCGAATAAAATATCATTAACCATACATACTCTTGCACAAAATATGTTAAACGCGCGCAGATGTGTAGAAACTCTACAAGAAATATAATATGTGTGGTGTGTGTGTGTGTGTGGATACTACTGTATATTATATACATACACGAAAGAATGGAGACAGGAGCGGGCGATTGAATATAGATCGAGCAGATCGGTCGAGTGGAAATGCGCGTTTTGCCGTACGTAAAAGTGGCCGGCAAAAGTGTGGAAAGTATAAAATCCAAAGATTTACAAAAATTATCGCGCGAGAACAAAGGAGGCATCGAACAGTATCTGTACTATAGATACGGTGCTACATAATAAATTTGCTACGTGCAGTTCCGAACAATCGTGTAACATTCGTACGTGCATCTAACAAACAGCGCGATAGAAATTTCTTTTTCTTTTTTCATTTTTTGACAAGAGAACAAAGTTGAATGACGACGCTCGCCCATTCCGTTTCGGCTTGCGGAGGCGGAATAT